TAAGGGGGTGAAGGCAGCAAGCAAACAGGCAGGGACAACCAGAGACAAGAGGACACCGTACACCCCGACCCAGAGGAGCCGAGCCCCACGCTGCAGTGTTTGCATAAGGACCAACATCGCACAAAGGTCCTTCCCATTGTGGCCTCCACGAGCCCAGGGGACGTGCCACCCAGCTGGGGGACTCACAGCCACTCACCTGGGGTAGCCTAGCTCGCCCGCATGGCACCGGGCCGGCTTGGTGTTGCCCGAAGACCCCTGGCTCTGCCGGTGTCGTGCTCTTGGCCTTGCTCTTCACTGGGGACCGTCACTCCCCCGGCAGCCGCTCTCATCTCCACTCATGAGCAGAGGGACAGGAGCTGATCTTCCCTCTGCAGAGCTGGGGAATGTCAGGGAGGGAACGGCTGGAGGGGCGAGGGGCAGCCAGCTCTGGTCCCCGTCCCTTCCTTCCCCAGTGACGCAGCAGGACAGTCCCACAGCCCCTTCCCTCCCAGGACGTAGATCTGCACGTCCTCTCAGTGTCATGAACCCCAGATGTGAACAGCTGGTGAATGGCCCTGACCTGCTCCTGCCCCCAAGCCAAGGCAAATTTAGACGGAGAAATCCCAGGGACATGGGGATGGACACCCCCCCCACGCTCCTCTCCAAAGTAGGGCTGGGACCAACCGGCTTTCCCGCTGTCCCCAAGCCAGGCACAGAGAAGGAATCTGGACCATGGCATCATCCTGAAAATACCGGGCCACCCTCTCCTCCTCGAGATGAGCAAGGCGTTTCCACCTGCCCTCACAAAGCATCCGAGACCAGCAGGCCAAAGAACCTCAGAAAAGCTTCGTCCTCCCCGCTCCGGCACTGGGTTCCTGCATCGCACCAAACAAGGAACCGTTTTCCTGCAGCGATGGAGCCCGCGGCTCTCCCAAACGCAGAGGCAGCGAGAGCATCCTGCTGCAGGCACTGCACTGGGAAAACCTCTGCTTCCTTCTGTTCCATGCAAACACGTCCCTGCCGTAATGCGGTGGGTATTTATTATGCTGATTCCTCAGAAAGCGAGGGCTTAACTGCAAATTACAATCAATAGCCCCAATCCCCAAGGGGCAGGTTCATCATTTAGCAGGCGCAACCAGAGGAATTCAAAACTATTTGCCAGCCATAAATCCTCCTCTCCGCAGCCTCCCGAGCCAGCCCCACACAATGCGTGATGCCTGGTTGGGGTGACCCTTGTCAGCATTTGAAACAATTAAGCTGTCACTGCAGATCGTGACTCTTATATACAGCCCTGAGCAGCGCTTTAAGATGTCAGCGTGATGGGGTGAGGGAAGCTGGCTGAGGCGAGCCTGCCGCAGTAACTGTCTCTCATTGAATTAAATGAATGTATTTGGAGTCAGAGTCTCTTTTTATTACCTTGCAAACGATTCCTGACTAAATTAAATTATAAAAGGAGTGTTCAGCCAATCAAACCTGCTTGATTGCCTGGAACAGGCATTTTAAACAGAGCACGCCTCGGGCCGCTGCTGTTTCCAGGACTAGATGGAGGGTGGCTGATGGACTGTATCGAAGCTGATCCACCCCGCTTCACACCTGGAGCGTCGCTCAGCAGCGATGCACGGCCACACACCGCGAGCAAGGCAGGCCCAGGGACGGGGCAGGATCAGCGCAGCCCCCTGGGATCGGGGTACGGTGCTAATGAAACCGCAGCCGGCTGAAAGAGCAGAGGAATGGCAGGGGGCTGCAGCGCAGAAGAGCAGACCGTCAGCCAGGCTGCTGAGGGCGGCTTTCTCTGAGCATCGTCCAGCCAAGCCTTCCCTCGGAGAAAATGCAGCGTGCTGCTCTTCGGGGGGCAAACGCACAGCTCCTGCCTGCAACTCACCCCCATCCTCCTGGACAGAAGAAATCCCTTCTCCAAAAACACTCAGCAAGGAGGCTCTGAGCACACCTCCCTTCGCTAACCCGCCCCCCCAGAGCTAACAAGGGGTCTGACCAATTCCATAAACCTCAGGAAGCTCCGGTACAATCCTAATGCTGCAGTAGACTTCCACCCTGCCCTTAGGACCTCGCTTTCTCAGGATTCGGAGATATCTTCAGGCAAACCTGCTGTTGCACGGAACTGCAATGTTTGCAGCTTTTAATGTTAGTGCAGAACAATTAGGGAAGCCGTCTGGAAGAATGAACACTGCAATTAAACGCATGCATTTTCAAATACAGCTATAAACTTGCTTGCAAAAAAGCTACTCTCAATTAAAAAAGAAGTTAGCTTCTTCTGGCTTAACTATTTTTACTTCATCCCCATTCCAAATTTAATCATGTATTAGTTCATTTTGAACAGGATAAAATGCCCAACTTTATAAATGAAGAGTAAGGCTAATTAGACAGAGGGTTTTTTAATGATGGCACACTAGACTAGTCAATTTGAAACCCGAACACACCGAGAGGGAGGCACTAACTAACCAAGGACATGTTTTAGCAGGTAATACTGTGCATTTTGGCCTCACGCAAGCATCAACCATTTCCCCAACTCCACACACTACCTGGTCTAAGGACGAAGCCCAGTCAGCAGTTCTGGCTGCCCGGTCGCGTGCTGGGGCTTGGCAGACTCCTGGGTTTAGAGTGAAAAGTCAGAAACTCAGGGACAAAATGAAACCAAAAAAAACCCTTTGTGCGGCAGCTCTGCCTGTTCAACCTTCACAGGAAATTTAAAGGGCAAGTTAATGTGCTGGAACGGCATCCCACCCAATTCACACAGAGAAGTGCCCGCTTTCTACAGCCAGCTCAGGCATAATGCGGCTAATTTGGAGCTCATTCTCCGCTAGCTGCCACCGCGGTCGGGATTTGCTCTGCACTCCAGCTGTGAACAAAGCCAGGAATAGGGAAGGGAACTTGCAGAGTTCAAAGTCACCTTCTTAGCTTGGGTATTGTGTATAATATCTATTTATCTCCCAACACACCTCATCAAGTCCCCTCCAGCCTCAGAGCCCTCTTGCAGCCACTTCACAATCTATTCCCCCCTACAACCTCCCGCAACAGCATCCGGGATTCTTCAGGTGGCCGAAGGTAAAAAAAGAGTTAGAAAACACACCAAACCGTCTACCCACTGCAGGCAGACACCTACAGTTCACATGAAATAGCAACTTTTATTTCTCAAATAAAATAATCCTTCCATTTCTGCTCGATCAGTTTGTGAGGGGTGGGGAGGAACAAAGGAGAGGGAAGGAGCCCTGCTCAGACAAGTTTGCAATCAGACCTGTCCTTACAGTTAAGAATCCACATCAGACCGAACCCTTTTTCAATGAAAGAAAATAAAAGCTATTGGCAACTCTTGATCCCAGAAGGAAAGAGCTGTTCTCTGTCAGGCACTCTGAATTGTTTAGCATCAGTATTCAATGAAAAAGCATGATTAGAAAAATCCCAGATTTCTGATGAAAAATATCCAGACAAGCAACAATGTTTAACAGGGCTGGGGTAAAACCCATGGCATGGGATGGTACTTGGAGCTCAAAGAGCTGTTACTGGAATTTAGGGGCATGATTGAGAAAGAAGATCCCCAGCAATACTCTTGGGGACTAACGGGCAGGACAAGAGCAAAGGAGGAAACTCCCAGGACAGCTCCTCGACGAGCGATATGCCAGAAGTGAACCCTCACTGCAGTCTGTGGCTCTTTGATCGTACCCTGCTGCAGTTTGGCCAGGTTAATCACCCATTAACAAAGTCTCATTTCTCATCTCTCTCAGTACCAGGATGTCCTACAAACCTTACTGCAGAGCTAAAGAGAGGCACAGAGTGCAACGTTTTAATGTTAATTGAAGTGGGACCACTACAAATTCACCGGGGGTTGTCTCAGATGAGAGACTGAAGTCTCCAATGGTGAAAGCTGCAGAGACAACGTGTCCAATGAGCAGGGGAGGGAGAACTTTGTTTCTGTTTCAGATCAATGCTTAAATTAAGTGAACGGATCAGCAGCAAAGCATCAGCAATGTTCTCTCAGCCCTGGCTTCCCTGTCCCAAAGCACAGGGCCAGATTTGTTCACACAAACCCGTAAACTTCCCACTGGTTAAGCAAGCCACTGGTAGGTTAACACAGGGATCCATGTGCAAACCCTACTGGGGCAGGACATTGCTGGCTATGGGAACTGTGTCCTAGAAGAACTGGCTCCTTTTTTAAGAAACATTACTTCGCCTGAAATGCTGCAAGATGGAAACCCATCTTCCCCATCCCCACCTGCAAGTACAGTAGCCTCATTTTCTGCCTTTCTCCAAGAGAAGGAGCTTCACAGAAGCTTTCTTGCTTTCTTGGCTGTAGAACACGTCTCCCTTTTTCTTTTTTTCTTTTTTTTTTTTTCCTCTTTTTTTTTGTTTTGTTTTGCTTTTATGTGGTCAGTTCCAATTCTAGTGATTAAAGACAAGGCCAGGCACCAGCAAAGAGGGTTACTTCTTTACGATCTGAATGACATCTTCATGCTCCATCATATGGGTTAAGCCCACTCTTTGAGGGCTGTATTTTGTGCTTGTCCCCTTTAAAGCAAAAGGGGGAGAAGGGTTAGGAGAAGACCAGTCAGAGACACTTGAGGACAGGGATTTCATTTGCTGTTAAACACTTACCCACACCAAGGCATATTTGAACTGGCTGGCTAATGATCTGTGAATTCGATGGCACTGCAAGACAGACAGACAGCATGTGAGACAGTTCAATGACACTACTTTGCAAACAACTTGCTCAATATCGAGGAACTAGAAGCAACTCAGGTCTATGTCAGAAATTACAATAGTGACTTTAGAAGCCAGTTAACAGCACTTGAAAGAATACAGAACAGACACACAGGAATCACCAGTCCACATAAAGCCCCATCCCACAGCTTCCATGTGCTTTTTCACTGGCCTGCATTAAGTAATTTTTTTTTTTAACCTTTCATAGCAGCTAGGAAAGAAACCCGAGGCAGATGGAATCAGTAAAGGTAACAAAAGCAGAAGCCCAACTAAACACTGACATATCCCAAGCTTTATGAAGCACAAATCATAGCAGGCTCCAACAGGAACCTGCCTTCCACAGACAAGGAAACATAAAAGATGCAGAGAAATTACCACATGCTCCACAGAGGCCCCTTTCCGTAGAATAATGGCATCTGTAAAGTCTGGTCTCTCTGTGGAGAAGCAGAAGAGGGGGGGAAAAAAGCATTGGATTCCGTCAACTGTGTTCTAACATGCTGATACCGTCTCACATTGCCTTGTGCTTACTACTCCCAAATTCCTCCTCCCGTTACACTTGCCAGCTCCCAGACAGAACAGGTATCCGGGTACGTGAAAGCATCAAATCAGTTCTATAGACACTCCAGTACCCACGTCACACAGCCAACAGCTTCCTCACAATTCACCTCCTCCAACTCCACGCCAAATACTTAAGACAAACAAAACCACCCAAGTCAAAACACACCTGCTCAAGTAAAACCAAACCACTCTGCAGTTTTCTCTAAAATCCCCAAGATTTCATAGCTTAACAAGCTCATAGAAAGTTCCGTAATCTCCTCACATCCAGCCAAGTTCAGAGTCACAGATGTTCACTCTCTCTGTAGAGAAGCAGAAGAGGGGGGGAAAAAAGCATTGGATTCCGTCAAGTGTGTTCTAACATGCTGATACCATCTCACATTACCTTGTGCTCACTACTCCCAAATTCCTCCTCCCGTTACACCTGTGTTCTAACATGCTGATACCGTCTCACATTGCCTTGTGCTTACTACTCCCAAATTCCTCCTCCCGTTACACTTGCCAGCTCCCAGACACAACGGGTATCCGGGTACGTGAAAGCATCAAATCAGTTCTGTAGACACTCCAGTACCCACGTCACACAGCCAACAGCTTCCTCACAATTCACCTCCTCCAACTCCACGCCAAATACTTAAGACAAACAAAACCACCCAAGTCAAAACACACCTGCTCAAGTAAAACCAAACCACTCTGCAGTTTTCTCTAAAATCCCCAAGATTTCATAGCTTAACAAGCTCATAGAAAGTTCCGTAATCTCCTCACATCCAGCCAAGTTCAGAGTCACAGCTGTTCACAACCAAACAGGAACAAATTACAGACGTGCCTTCATCACTGGAAGAAGCTGCAAGCGAGTTGTAAAGCAAAGGGAGGATCAAAGGCACTCATGAGCCTCAGGAGCCTGGCATGGGAATCACCAAACCTCTCAGAGCAGGAACAGGAGACCTCTTCTGGGTAGCGATGGGCTGAACAGCTCATCACAGAGTGTGCATAATAAGGAAGAAAGCTGCAAACTTGCTAACTTTATTTCCTTATATCATCATGCAAAATCTTATGAAAATTCAGTTCTTCTAGTGCAGAGGGAATAGGAGGGCTGTGGTGGGATACACGCACGGCTGGGTCAGATGGAACAGAAAGCATTTCCCAAGAGCTGAAAGCTGGTTAGGGAAAGCTTAATTGCAGCATTTCCAAGACACAAGAGATCACTGACAGCCAGGTGTCCCAGCCCCGCTGGCAGCCTGTCTGCCCTTGATGAGCAGCAGCCCTTTGTGCCTTTCAAAACTTTTCAGCTAATGGTCACTTACGTCCTCGTTTCTTGGTGTAGATGCAGGTAAGTGCCAGGTATTCCCAGAGCTTCTCTAGCAAGTAGTCCAGGTTCAGTTTCATGCCACAGCTGCAAAACACCAGGAACATCTCCATGTTTACCGCTGTTGTGTTTTAGAGATCCAGAAAAACAAGGTGAACCGTCTTATTAAAGTGCCAGGGGACAAGGGGAAAAGTCTTTAATGAGGCCAGTAAAGAAAAAAACACAAGGTGAAATAAATAGGGCTTCCAGAAGGGCAAGCAGCTTTGAAGCAGCAAAGCCCCAGTCAGATATATCAGCACTTCTAAGGAAACAAGCCAGACTGGCTTACTCTGGCCTGCTCACAGTGTGGAGAAGCTGAGCAGCCTGCCTCTCCAGGGGAAGGAAGCCTGGAAAAAGCTGCACAGTGGCTCTGCTTCTCACCCCAGCAGCTGCAGGCAGCCCTGGGAGAAGCCGGAGAAAGGGGCATGAAATGAAGCACCACACCATCCGGGCCAGCACATCAGGCAGCATGACAAGCTCCTACCTGATTACAACACTGTGGGGTCTCCGAGCAAGACGATCCACTTCCTCCATAGATATCTGGTCAATCTTGTTATAAACCTAAGTCAAAGGAAGAACAACACACCCTTTAGGAAGTCAATTCAGCAACACTGCAAGGAAGTAGGACATGCACATATAGGTATAACAAGGTAGTTCGAGCCTCTGAAACAGAAACACAGACCCTGTCAGCCAGAGGGCAGGCCAAGGCTCTCAGTAAAATAAACTGTTGAAATTCAGAAGCCTAAATGCAAGTTTGGGCCTTTTAAAGTTCTCCCTTTGGGATGACTTGCAACACGTTCTCCAGGATCTTGGATTTCACTATCAACCCAGTCACTATCAAACAGAGCCATTAAGTGACCTCTGGCACAAGGGACCAGTAGTGAAAACTCAAGCACAGATCTTGCAGCACAGGAACCGAAGGCTTCGCACCGTGGGAGCAAACCCCACGCCACCAGGACATGCAGCTCATGCTGCTCCACGGCAGCCAGCCACAAGAGGGCAGAGGGAACACACAGAGAGTACAGCCGCACATGTGAAGCTTATAAAAAGCTCCCCGTTGAGCTGTGCTTTCCACCTCTTAAACCCCAAATTGTTACTGCTTTAGGAACCAGGAAGACCCACTGTTTCTCTCAGCAAAGAATGGAGATGCTCGGTGCTGCAGAAGGCAGGCTGTTTCTGAGATACTCACGTAGAGGCACGGCATGTAGACCCTGTTGCCTACAATCACGTCAATGAACTCATCAGGGGAACAATCCTCTCTGAAGAGGACCTCAGCATTAAAGATTTCTGAGGTGAACCTTGTCAAGGCCCAAATCCCAACACGTCTAAACACTGCTGTAAGCCAATGGCCTGAGCTTGCTTGTGAAAGCCTGTTCTCAACCCAGCAAACACCAAAGACGCAGCAAGGTTGTTCCACAGAAGGCACCACTTGACTTATGAGCGGCTGATGGCTCAGAGGTCTCCCGTTTTAGGAAAGGATACTATATTCGTGAAGGATGAGCTGCACCAACTTCTCCGAGCACTGAGTCAACGTGACAGTGGAGTTGAAGGAGATACCTCCACCCTTCTTCGGCTGCAGGGAGGCAAATAAGCAACTGAAGAACTGTCTGCAAAATCCACAACCCCCCCCCAGTTTGTCCAACATGAGGGGCGGCACGTAGCGACCTCAGCTTTGAGTAGGCAGCCAGACACAAGTTGTGCTCGCTGCAGCCCAGGAAACCTCACCTTGAAGTAGATATTTGGTTTGCTTTTGTTCAGCCGGATTCCTACGGATTCCAGTTCTTTCTCCAGCAAGGCCCTGCAGGGACACTGCACATTAGTACCTGTGAGACTGAGCGCAGTCGGGTGACACCCATATCTTTCCTTTTTCCCAGAAGCACATGCTCACCTCTGTACTTCACCCTTCGTGGCATCCAGCATCATAATAACGACATCTGCTGTCCTGGCCACAGCTATCACCTGCCGACCTCTGCCCTTCCCTGAGAAGAGAGGAGATGACCATACATCAGCGAGAGAAACCAGCTACGAGCTCTGCAACAGACAGGGACTCCTGCCCTGCACAGCTGCTTGGAAGCAAGGAAAAAGATCCTGCAGTGCCGTATTGAGCTGCTGGGGGGCCCTGAGCGAGCGTATCTGGACCCTTCATACTGCCTTATGTCCAGCACAAGCCCTAACAAATACTCTTTGCTGCTGCTCCTCCACAGGTTACATGAACTAGTGTGTAAAGCTATCTGAGTACGGCTGCACGGGTGGAAATGACATTCTCTGTCTCCAGGACAGACATCCCCAGACATGTGCGATGGTAGCAGCTCCAGGCAGCAGAGACAGCTTACCCAGAACAGTGATGTGGGCCCAGGGCCCCTGTGCAGAGAGGTTACATATGCTTTCTGGTCAAAAAGGAGAGAGACCTTATTAATCAGGCTACGATCCTCCAACAAAATAGACCATTAGGAGATTTTCCAAGGTTTCCTAAGGCATTTTCTGACATGACCAGTCAATCTGGACAATGACAAAGCAGAGGGACAAAGCAACACCCAGAAGCAGGAGTCCTGGGAGGACTGGTAGGAACTCAGGAAATTAGTCAAAAGAGGTTACTGTTTAGCTGTAATTTCCCCCTCCGCCTCTCTAGCATCTTTCTTTAGATTTCCGCTGTACCAGAAAACAGATGAGCAAGATAACACTCACGCAAGAAGGTGAGAAGTGACTGGCTTGCTTTGGCTCCCACCTCCAGAAAAGCATCTTTCTGCTACATATAGAGCGTTACGTGGGCTCGGGGATAAGAATCGTGCTTCACATAAGACCAACGAGACTAAAATTTGGAAAGCCAATGTGGGAACTATTGGCCCAGGGAACTTGCTAACGTCTGAGACAGCCAGGTACACGATTCAGGGCAAATCCCTACTTTACAAGAACACAGAGATCAGCCAACCTTGTGCTGCTCCTTCGATGATTCCAGGCAGATCCAGCAGCTGAATATTGGCTCCTTTGTACTGAAAAGAAAACAAAAGGACGGAAAGCTGAAAGCTTTGTGCAGGGCTCCTGAGCTGCCTCGACAGCCCCAAGCACGTGCTGGAGTCCAAAGGCTGGAGAGCGTGGAACTGAATGAACCCGATAGAGCCGGACAACTTTGCACAAAGCTGATGGCTGTTTTGTTGAGGGAACCTCCAGAGCATTTCCTACGAAGCTGCGTTCAACGCCACATACTGCGGTACGTTAGGTCCTGACCTTCTAAAGCATCACATGATTGCTGTTTGACAAAGCACCAGGAAAACAGTACAGTACAAGAGTAGCATTATCCTGAGTTGGTGAAATGGAAAGGAAAGGAAAAAAAAAAACCAAACGACCTTACTTGCTTGTTACAGTGCTTTCTCGTTAAACCAAGCAAGTGCCACCATCTCTTACCGAGATGGATCAGAACTATTCAGATGTGTTGCAGATCTTACAGTACCAGGAAATAGCAGGAGACTTTCATTCATTAGATCTGCAGAGACATTAGCTTTCAAGCTATTGTTGCAGTGAAGTCCTCAGTAACGGCTTTAGCGAGTGACTGCAGCTCACGGCAGTGTCTGGATGCGTTACAGTATTTGTGTTCGTTTTAACACCAATACGGTTACTTTCATTATTTAACTCCACTTTCAATTCTGACCCAAATTTTCTCATTACTCTTGGACACTTTTCAGTTTGATGCCCTTTATAATTTGCTTTACTGATGGATGCTTAGGCCACCACTAATAAAACTCCTCAAGGACAGGAGTAGTATTTTCTTTCCAAATTGATCACAGTACAGATTGCCTCTTTTAAAGCTTCATTAAAAACAAATCTGTCAAGGTTTCCAGCCATCTGGTCAATGGCGCCAATAGTGGTTATAAAAAATTCAGTTGAGAATTGTCGTATTGCTCTGGTCAGTCGAACAGCAGCATATGAAACCCCGCTCAGGCAGTCAATCCTGAGGAGTTATATAGCCTAGGGAAGTGCTAAATCAGCACTGCAGGTTGCAGAAGACCTGATACTGCAAGCACTCGAGACCTCCTAAAGCTTAAAGCAGAAGTCAGCAGAGACCTTTGGATATCACTGCTTCGTAGTGGTAGCACAAGTGTAACTGGTGTAAACAGACACATTTACATTTCTGGTTTTCTTACCACCACTACTGTGCTGAAGGGAGGAGAATCCTACTTACTTCTATGACTCCTGGGATACACGTCAGGGTTGTGAACTCATAAGATGCAGCTTCACTGGCAGTTGAGGTCATTAAACTCAAAAACGTGGACTGAAATGCAAGAGATCATCATCACTAGAGATATGCAAATGAAAGCACCGGTAAATGTTCAGCAAAACAAGTAACGCCAAAGTGTTCCTCAGCTTTTAGAAGCCGTGTTGTGGCTGCTCCAGGCACAGGGACTGATGCGGGACAGCCAGCGCTTTCGCTGAACGAAGGCAGATCCTGTACTCTCACCTATTTTCTCAGCAGTGCTGTGGCTGAGCAGACCAAGTTTCGAGCTGTTACCACAGGGCACCGCACACAAGACGAAGGAGCGTTTCCCCTAGCTCTAACTTTCAGCTCTCAGCGTACAGTAATTTTCTGTTAAGTCATGGCAAGAAGGTGAAAGACAAAGAGATGGACGTCTGCTTTACAGCCACGGCTAACCACAAACCTGGAAACACACATGCCACGTGGCTAACGTAGACACTCACTGACCTTACCCACAGAAGGAAAACCGATCAGTGCCACCCGGGCATCTCCAGATTTCATCACATCGAAGCCTTCTCCTTTAGCTGCCGAGGATTTGGAGGGTTCCAGCAACTGAGCTCTGTATTTTGCAAGCTTTGCTTTCAGCAGGCCGAGGTGGTACTCAGTGGCTGGAATAACATAAAGGCAACAACCGGTTGACAAAATGTTGCTGATAATTCACTTTGAGAAATAAGAACCTTCCTAAAAAGAAACACTATGGATCTCGGTCAACGTCTTAACCACTGCCACACACATGAGCGACCCCCAGCTGTTCTGTAACCTCTTGAAATACTGGGCATGGAGAGCAAACCTTCTAGGAACCTGCACAGAAAGCCAGACTTGAGGTAAATAAGCAGCCAAAAAATTCCTGAGTAAAAGGAGTAAGCCAGAGGGAGAGCAAGTGCAGGAATGAATGGGTGAAAGGGGTCAGTTAAGGAGGGAGAGATCACAGGCGGAACAGCCACTCCTGGACAAAGGCCCCTCCTTACACCTGGTCACATTCAGCGCTCCAAAAACACAAGATTTTTTTTTTCCCCCTGCTCCTGTCAAGTTTTAAAGACATGTTTAACTTGGAGCTCATGGGCATGAAAGTCCTTTATTGACTTACTCTTAGCAAAACACTTGATTTTACACCTGATACAGAAAAAAAGGTAGTTGTTTCTGTAGAAGCTCCCTTTATATCAGGGAAGGGCAAGAAACCCAGGAGATTACAGGACTTACTATTTTTCCTTTCCATTATTTACCACAGCCTAAAGCGTCCAGGAGTAGCAAGGTACTGGGCACCCACTCCGGCAGAACCTGAGGGCAGTTCTGCTCCCCAGTCCCGCTCCCCAGTCCCCTCTTCAAGTTAAGGCATTTAAACACCACCTGGGGACCCCACAGCAGGCAGCCCTGGACCCCCTGCGCCAACAGCACTTGGGCTCCTTGGCCCAGCTCTGAGGAGAGCCGGGGTGCTGCCAGGGCTCCGGACTGCACCTCCTCCAGGCGTGCGGCCCGAGGCTTCCCACCCGCACGGGCCAGGGCATCA